CAGGGGACTTCTAGTCCTTGTAGGTATTACATGTGTTCTTTGGTGAAATGAGACCTTTACTAGTTAATATCAAACTTTGTCTCTGGTTGTGGGTACTTTGTTTTTTTCTTCCAGTTCTCTGTGTTGGATTATTTGCTGTTCTCACCACTTAAACTCTGCACTGTAACTAATTTGTTGTCCTTTGCTTACTTCTAAAATGGGGGAACTTCCTGTGGGGACCAGTCCTTGAGCTGTGTGGTTGAGCTAAATTGCTGCTTTGCTACTGATTCACTAAGGCTTTTTGTGCAGCTCAGGTTTTAATGGTTGACTTTATAGGTACTTCTGGGTCTAGTGAAATCCAGTGCACTTGGGTTGTGTAGAAACTCTAGTCTGGGCCTGAGTCTTTTCATCAAACTGCACCCCCACCCCACCCTGCAGTTCTATATTCCTGACCAGTCTCCTCTGAGTGCTCCTGCACTGATTGGGGTGCAGATCAGCTGTCCTTGCTGTGCCCCAGTGTTCTCCCAGTGGGCCCATCTCCTCCACCACCCATGCTCCAAACACTTCCCATGGGACAGACTGAGCTCTGGTCCCTTGTGCCTCCTTTTTTTTCAGTTGTTATGGCTCCTTGCTCCTATGTGGGTCCACGGGAACCCTATTAGTGGTCTTACTGGCCTGGGGGCCACCAAGGCCCTCTTCTCCCCTTCAGCCTCTACGCAATTCCATCCTAAGGGCACAGCTGTGGCTTCTGCCTAACTCCCTCCTGTAACATAGTGGAGAAAATTAACATCATTTCTGGGTATAAAGCCTACTGAGCTGCAGTTGTTAAGGTGTGGGTAAAAGATAAACGTGAGCGCAAGGGGCTTTAAATTGTTTTGTTGAGCAGTTGAAATGATGTCAATTTTCTCCACTATGTTACAGGAAGGAGTTAGGCACCTATGTGCAGACCTAATTACAAATGTGAGAAAAATCAAAAGGAAGCCCTGGGCCCCGTCTGATTTTGCTCCATTCCGAGCAATCCTCAGCTCCATGGGCTGGCCTTTATTCCCACTTTCCATAACATCAAGGCTAATGGAGAAGTTTCAACGTCATGGCAGCCCAGTGAAGGTTTCTGCCAAGCTCTCTCAGCATATTTGTCTTTTTCTGGGTGAACTGGGGGCAGTGGTGTGCTGGTAAATATTCATTTTTGGTAGGATTTCCATAGCATAAATACTGCCCCCATGGCTATTTTATGCTACCAAAATGGCACCACAGTACGTAGGGTTGGGAAGAGATGGGCCGTCACTCAGTAGTACACAGTATTTCCACCCGACAGATACAACAGGTGTGAATAAGCTTGGCAAAGATAATAGTAAAATAGAGCCAAATCATCAGAATGGGATGCGTTTTGAGTATTTATTACCTTTGTTCTTAATATAACTTACTAATGGTAAGTTTCTATAACTCAGTTTTTAATAATGGCTTTTTAATTATGGTCTCGTAAAATTTCTGGAAATGTAGCATTCCCGAGCTATGGACTTCTCAGAGGTGACTATGTCACTGTCGGCTTTTTAATTATGGTCTCGTGAAATTTCTGGAAATGTAGCATTCCCGAGCTATGGACTTCTCAGAGGTGACTATGTCACTGTCTGCCCACACCTGGGCTGCCTCTCCCACAGATACCATGTGTCTCAAGACAACGTAGTCGGCTGAGAGGAGACACTGTCAGACCCACTGCCCCCTAGAGTAAATGACCACGAGCTAAGTCTGGCTCATAAGCACAGGCTGGAAGCCACCCTGATGCCATCAAACCTGCTGAGGATGTGAGTCCCTGATCTGGGCAGAACACGTACTAGGAACCCCAGGGGTCCTTGAGCCAGGGACAGGGCTGGAGGGGACAGGATCCCAAAGGGTGGCTGGGCAGTTGCCTTTAGCCTGTGATAGGGACCAAGTGATAAGGGGAGCTACTGACCACTCAGGAAACTAAGGAAAGAGGAAAGTAGCAAGCTTTTACAGCAGTCTTTTATTGGAGCTAAAAGCTATGGAACAGCTACCTATAATAGACAACTACTGACACCCAAAAGAAACAAGTAACAAGTTCCCCAAGAACAAAATGGCATCGGTTGAGCTGCAGCGCCCTCTGACCTCCATAGGTGGGATGGCAGGAGGTGGTGGGGAGAGAAGCGTGCCTGCTTGGAAGGGACTAGAAGGCAGGCTCTGTCTCCAGAAGGGAACAGGTGACATCTCAAAACAGGTGCCATGTGACCAGCCCTGCTGTTCTCCTGACCCCTGGGGCACCGTGTCTAGGTGTCAGTCACCCTGCTGAGTCACAGTGTCACAGGGCTCTGAGCAGGTCCTGAAGGTCAGGATGCAGGGAGGAGCCCCCCACCAGGACCCAGCTGGGGTGTAGATGTGATGTAGACATCACCACGCTCCAGAGAGCCCCTCCTTTGGCACCTGGTCCCCAGCCCCCACACAAGCTGCAGACAGGAGTGTGTCAGTAGTAGTACTATGTGCAAAGCCCATAAGTGGCCAGGCTTCCAGGGCTCCTGGTGTCCTCAGGCTGATGGAAAAGGGAGGAGGAAAACGCCACACTGGGAATCGGCAGCCTGGAACCTTGCGTGTACCCCGCTCTACCTCATCTCTGCGCTTGCTTCCATCCCTGCCAGGTGAGAATGGTAGCGCTTGCCACACCGCTGTCAGGAGGACTGGACTTCACAGCGTATCTGGAATGCCTGCTGGTAACAGACACGTAACCAGCATTTCCTCCATGGCATGCTTTTGTGGATAGCCTATGTTGGGGCAATTCAAATGAGCTGACATGAGGCACCTGAGATAAGTGGTATTTTGAGATGGCCTTTTGGGACTTGAATCCAATAGCTCTTCAAAATGGAAAGTGGATCTTTGGGGACCACTCAGGGCAAGTCTTCTTGGCCCCCTGCCCCAGAGTCCTCCCGTCTTTACAGCAGGAACCTGTAGCCTTCACTTCTTCTCATGCACAGGGCACAAACTGGGCTCTTTTCAGAGGTATTTAAGGAGCCCTACGCCAGTGGCCCTCAATCTTGGCTACATGTGAACCGCCTGGAGCATTTGGATCATCGATGTCCAGGCCACTTCGGAGATTCTGATCTAACAGTTCTGGGTGCAGTTTGGCAGTAGCAGCTGGACCTGAGCATCCTTGCCTTAAAGCACAGCCTCAGTTGCTGGAAATCACAACCGCCTGGTGTCAGCCCTACCCTCCCCCTGAATGTTGTGCAGACAGTGGGTCCCAACCATGCCTGGTTCTCCATGTCCTCTGTGACTGGGCCCTCTGTCACACTCTGACAGCCTCAGCCCAGAGCGCCTGTCACCAGTGGCCGTGCCTTCTGCTCTGCCTGTCACCTGGACCTGTCTCTTGCTCTCAATAGCCAGCCATCTGGCTGGGCCCTCCAGCTTCATGCCTGCCATGAGATATTGGCTCTTTTCACCCACTGTACCTCCTCCCCTGAGATGCATGGTTCCCCCTGCACCACCCCGGTGGTGCTGTCTGCCGTATAATCTGACTCAGCCCTCCACTGCCAGAGCCCCAGCTCCTACACAGGAGACGTGTTCCCAGCCAGCCACACTACACCTATTCACTGAACATGTACAGCACGAGGCACCTGCCAAGAGTCCATGGCTAAGAGTGAGTCTGGACACTGTGGTCATCTATGAGGGATGACTGGCTCCTGAGGGCTCTTCCTAAGGACAGAGAAGATTCCAGGAAGAGTCAGGGGGAAATCAGTTTCCCCTTTATAAAGATAGGGCCATTTGTGACCCCTCTCTACTTCCACAGCGCCAAGCACAGAGGCTGGCTTGGGGCTGGCATCCATTGGAATGAATGAATGAGTATCTCGAGCCCCACACACCAGCTCTAGATTGTCGCTTCTTCCACATCTGCCCAGATCCAAAGCCAGGCTGGTGACAGCATTTCATGGCACTGTCATTGCTTTTTAGGGCAGACTCATCATCACAGAGTGATCCTCAAGGTTTTTCTCCACCACCCCAGCCTGGAAGGGCAGGGGAGGTGTGGGCACTGATGGCAAGAAGAAGGGAGACCAGCAAGAGACAGCCTCTGGGACCCCTAGCTCCTCTGCCTCCATGGTGGGGCGCAGGGGCTCACCCCACATCCCTGCAGGCTGGAGTCTTCTCACCGCAGCAGGTGGTGGGCGGCTCTCAGTCGGCCCTAGTCAGAGCTGGCAGCTGTGGCCAAGTCTCTGTTGGAATTCTCCATCCCTTGTCCCGGGGTCTCCCCTGAAGCTGCTGCCCTGTTTCTTCTGAGCTCCTTGGGTCACCTCTCAATGCATTTCTCCTTGGAGACCTCGTGCAAACAGGACTGCAGTCCTAGGGGCCCTGAGGATCCCTTCCCTGGATCCTCCCCAGCCCACAGTTCTGGATATGATGTCAAAAACCTAAAGATGCGGATTCCTGGAGGAATGGAAGCAATCATCTTTGACTTTAAATCCCAGGCACTAAAAAGTAGGATGCACTTAGCCTTCTCATCTTTCTCCAGCCTTTGTCCTGCACATCCTTCTTCGGGCAGGAACAAAACACACCGAGGTTCTGGAAGCCACAGGGCAGAACCCCCTGCCCTGGATCATTCCTTTTGACATTCCATCCTACCTCTCTGCTTAATTTAAAGGGATCTGGTACTTAGATGAGCCGCCAGACACACTGACCAAACTAACACTTGCTTTGAAAAGCTTCTTTATTCAGCTTGCCGTATCATAAAGAAAGGCTGAGATTTATAGTACAGGCCTAGGAAGCTAGTTTATAAAAAGTCAGAAAAGAAATTCGATCTAGAGAAAGCTGTCGCTGCTAGCTTGACTCAGTTGCATGTGGGATTTTACATATGGCACCCACCTCCCAGTGCTTCACCCCCACCTCAACCCACCCCACCATACACCTGTGCCATGGTAAACAGTTCAGGTGCTGCTGGGTGCCATGCTCTGCACCCTCATTTTTTCTGTCCTATCTTGGTTGACTGAGCACATGGAGCCCATGTCTGCATGCCATGTCCTGCCTTCACATCCTTGTGCTCGGGGGCTGGCCACTGGCGGGGCGTGTCCTCTTCCCCAGCATGAAGGCCACCACGGCCAGGACCACAGCCAAGAAGACCCCAGCGGAGAGGGCAGTGCTGTGATAGCTCCCCTGGGAGCTGGCCGACTCCTCCACGTCCGCCACCGACAGGTCTGAGGAAAGGAGACAACGTTAATAGAATTGGGACCAGGACAGAGCCCACAGCAGGAGAGGGAGACAGCGAAGGCCATGTCCCCACTGCTGGGTGAAAGCAATCAGAACTGGTGGGTGGGGCCAGCCTGGTGGCGCACTCGGTAGAGTGCGGTGCTTGGAAGCGCAGTGGCGCTCCTGCCGAGGGTTCGGATCCCATATAGAGACTGGTCCGCTCACTGGTTGAGCGCGGTGTGGGCGCGACACCAAGGGTTGCGATCCCATTACCGGTCATGAAAAAAAGACAAAAAAAGAACTGGTGGGTGGGACAGGATAAAGAAATGGAAGAAGGAAGAGCCAAATGGGAAACTGAGGCCAGACCTCAAAGGGCAGCTGAGAGGCGGGCTAGAGAGATTTCACATTGTCATGTTAGCCAAGAGGAGTCAGGCGAAGTTTTCTGAGCAGCAGCTCAGAGCCAGGCTTTGGGAGAACAAACCTGGCCAGAGACTGCAGGTGGTTGGGAGGGGAGAGAGTTGGGCATTTTAGGTCAGTTGGGAAATGGTTACAAGAGTCCCAGGCAAGAAGTACCCAGGACGTGAGCCACTGCAGCGGCTGCAGGGAATCGAACGGAGAGGGGAGAGGTGAGCACTGTCCCCAGGGCCCCTGCACCCCATCGCCCCTCCCTGAGGTCCTCTCTCCGTAGCTCCAACCTGATTGGATGTACCAGGCATGAGACTTATTCTAAATTGCATCTCCACCCACCGGGGGGTCAGCTCCCCAAAGGCAGGGACTTTGATCTGTTTCTGTTTATTTATGTGCCTCCTGGTCCGTCATAGGCCTTTAATAATTGCACTGAATGACTGAATACATGAGAAAGAGTCTAGAATCAGCTGGACATGGGGACAGCACAAACTGGAGCATGAAGAGAGAGCTGTCCAAGATGCTCCCTGGGCAGGGGGAGAGGGGGACCTGACCGAGGGGAGGGTTTGTGACAACCACTGCTGCCCCACCCCTAGTTCCATCACCATGGCCACCGTATCGCTGACCTGACCCCAGGCTGGGCCAGAATTCCTGGGAATCTCTCTGCCCACATTTCCTCACCCACACCCACGACAAAACAGCACAGCAGAAGTTACACTCCCCGTCCTGGATGCGGACAACGAGATGGCTGTGCAGTGACAAACCTGCCAGCGGCCAGAGTAAACCGGCGCCACCTGCGTCCCCACGCCCGCCCAGACTCTGACTTCAATACACCTGCTGTTACGGCTTTGCTGTTATTGTCATCATGAGGAATAATATAATCATTCATGTTTTTAATACGGGTGACAATAACAACAATAACAAAAACTGCCATTCACCACGCACCCTGCGAATTGTACCAGGCAGGGGCCAAGGCAGTTTAACATCATTTCCTGAAACCCTCTCAACCATCCTAAGAGGTAAGTAAGAACATTTTCATTTACAGCATGGGTTCTGGGGGTCCAGAGCCCAGAGGATAAAGGCGTCTGGTCCACCTGCGTCCCAGGTCAGAACTCTCTTGACCACACTCTACACATGGGTCCCGCCAAGACCATGAGCCTTGGGGGCAGGCAGGAACCAGGTCTCATTTAACTCCGTATGACCGGGCGAAGCACAGTGTGCCTGGCACATAACAGGTGCTCAATTTGAGGTGGAGTATGACAGCAACAGCAACATCACACGTCCCCAAGAGCCATGGCCGTGGGCCCCAGTGGGCAGTGGGGTCTGAGGGCAACCACCTACCCAGGCTCCTCTTCTCTGCATGGGAGTTCTGCAGCTGGATCGGCCCCAGGACGACATCCACCTTTCCCTGGTAGGAGCCCAAGTCCCTCTTGGATCTCACTATGCAGCCTTGGTAGCACCGGGAACCGTCGTCGTAGGCTCTGCACACCACCATTTTGCACTGCATGTACACGGACGGGAAGCGGTTCAGGAAGTGGAAGGAACTGAATTGGAAGCGGGCGATGCGAGGCGACGGCTGGGAGTAGGACCGGTAGGTCTCATCCCTCACACACCTGGAAGGAGAGAAAAGCACCTGTTAGCTCTCGCCAAGGCACTGGTTCTTGGTGACTCGAGTTGCTCCAGGCATGGAACCCCGTCCTCGCTGCCACGCCTCCTGCACCTGCCCTTCCTTCCTTCCTTCCTTCCTTCCTTCCTTCCTTCCTTCCTTCCTTCCTTCCTAACGTGTGGATCAGACGAGGCCCAGAAGCTCTGGTACCTCACCAGCATCCTTAAGCAGCAGGTCCCCCCGCCGGGGGTTTCCAGATGGACCAGCAGGCCCCATACTGCACAGTGGGTTGGGGCCCAGTCCCACAATGACCATGTGCTCAGTGGTCCCAGGTACACCAGGGGAGTCGGGGAAGTAGCTCAAGTTTGGGGGCCAGGAGCAGGGCCCAGAGACAGGACAGGAAAGAAAATGACTTCTTCTCTTTCCTGGTCTCAGGGCCAGGCAAGGTGACATTGGGCTGCAGTCTGGGTACATTTGGTGTCCTCTGACCTCCCCGGCTCTCCCTCTTCCAGGGCCTCTCTCTCCTGACCCTCCTCAGCCTGCCCTGGGCCCTGTGTGGCTGTCCTTTCCACATTGGCCTGTGTAATTGCCAGTACTCACCCCCACCTCAATATCAACCACCTCCTATTCCCCCAGGTCCCTCACCTCAGCGGGGGTAGAAGGACAGTAACCTGAGAGTCTGTTCAGAGGAATGGCACTGAGCTGTGGAGGAGGTGCAGCTCCCATGACCTCCCAGCGGCTCCCCTAACCCATGTGCATGTACGGTGGTGGCATTTCAAGTGACGTGGGGAGCAAGGAAAGCTGGCCCGGGGGGCTTGGGATGGAAACTTTTCTTGGGTGGATTGGCATGGTTGCCAGCGCAGCCCAACTCTGCCTGGAAATGTGGCCCGGGGTCTGCTCGCCCTCCGCCTTCCAGAGCTTCCTTCCTCCTTCCACTTTCAACTCAGATTCTCTCAAGTACCAAGGTTTCTGTTTTTTAAAGCAGCCCCCTCAGAGGCCCAGATGGGAGAGAAAATACCCAGAGGCTTGTTCAGCGTGGGGCGTTTGTAAGGAGGCCGGGGTGATGCAGGAGCTTCCTGGGCGATCACTGCACTGCACATGAAATCCCACCAGTCAGGGGCTCTGCAGAGGCCAGAGCGCCACAGCCCAGGCCGCACTTCAGAATCACTTGGGGAGATTTTTTAAAATGCAAGATACAAAGAAATGATCGATTTGATCATCACACATTGTATACATGTATTGAATATAACTCTGTACCCCATAAGTATGTATAATCAATACGTTTCATAAAAAAATAAATTTAAAAAAAACTACAAGATAACTGAGCCCCAGCAGAGCAGAGAGAATGTGTGGGCAGGGCCTGGGCAGGGCATGTTTGAAGCCGCAGGTTGCAAAATGGGCATCCACGTGGATGACCTGGTTGATGGCCATGTGTGCTCCAGGTACAGTCAGGACACACCTACCCCCACATGCACATCCCCCTCCTCCCAGCAAATTGCATTATCATATACCAGCGTACTTTAAAAAATTCATGGAAGGGTTTGTATTGTCTTTTACTTCTATTTTTCCATGAACTTTTGAAGTACCCTTGTATAATGGCAGAATTTGACCAAAAAGAATACTTTAGCAGGGAAGAGCTAAATCACTCGCTCATTGGTGTCAATTTCAATCATTTCACATAAATTCGAATACCACCTTGTTGCTATTTGTGGACAGGGAACCTGGTTAAGCTTCTTCCTCCCCATCTTAGCTATAAGGGGACTGCAGTGACCTGAACCACCTGCACAGACTGAACAAGATGAACCTCGACACCTACTTACTGAACTGACGCATGTTCAGATTGTGCCAAGAAAGAGATGCTGTTTTCAGTATCTCAGGAAGAAAAGCTTAATCCCCCCACCCCTGAATCCTAGCAGAAGCCCTTACTCTGTTAGTACAACCTCTCTTGGGAGACAATGGCTACGAGGGGCCGAGGTCTACACTGTAAGCCCACAGTGCCGTACACAGCCACCAGCGGAGACTGCAGAGTGGGGATTAGAGTTGCACACCTGGCATCTCAGGACCCCCTCCTGAGTGCAGAAGAGCCGAACCCCACCTCACCAGAGCATCTAGCTGACATGCAGGCGAGCTGGACTATGGTAGAGCAGCCCAGCCTGGGCACCATCTGACCCCAGCCCAGGCACCACTGGCATCACCTCGGCACTTCTTGAGCTTGACTGGAACCATGGACTCCGAGAACTTCCATCCTCTGGCTGGTGGAGGTCACAAGGACCTCCTGCTGCCTTTGGGGCAACATTCTCTGTGGACCTGCTGCTGTGCATGATCTGCACTCAGCACCCTACCTACTGTTTCTCATCCAATCCTCCCAAAGCCTGATGATGTGGGCATCGCTATCCCCAGTTGATGGATGAGGAGCTGGCCCAGAGCAGTGTGTCTGCCTCCCAGAGTCATGCAGCTGGCATGTGGCAGAGCCGGCATTTCAACCTTGTTCTACTCCAAAAATCAATGCACCTCCACTACTAACAGGTCTTTTTAACACTAAGGCTGGAGTTTAGTCACCTGAAGTCTAATCCCAGCTCACTGCTAACCTGCTGGGCAACCACTGGTGAGTGACTCAATGCTCCACACACCCATCTCCCCACATGACAATTGGGGGGTGGTCCAGGACAAAGCATAAAAGCACCTCAGAAGGTAAAAGTCACAGGATGTTACTACATGTAGAAAGGGATCTGGTTAAACTTGAATTACGAGGAACTTCAGTTAACCAAAATCTGCATTCCTCAAGCCTTTTGGTTTGAGCTATCAGGTAAAGGTTTAAGCCCATCCCATTAAGACAGTCCTTACCCACTCCGGATTAGATCATAAGTCAAAGAGCTAAAGTCATCGGAGTAAGGAGATGCCACACAGGTGTCCACAAACAAGGTCAGAGAGGCATCCGAATGGAGTATTTCTGCCTGAAGGTACAAGTTCTGGTTCAGGTCCACGTAGTACGGGCTGCTGGTCACGGGATGTAAGAATGAAGAGGAGGTGTAAAAGGATATGTTCACGTCAAAATTGTCATACTGGACTTCCTTGACCTCAATGGTGTCATTAGCAATGTACATCGTTTCGACCCAGGTGTTCTGGAACATCTTGCAGCTGATGTGAACGTGGAGGTCCGGCTTCCTTTTGATGATGCCACTTGAAACAGCTGCTTTGAGGAAGTTGGAATAGTTGATGGTGTCATTATCTACCTGGGAGAGGCAGGCAGGAGAGCTGTCAGGCAAATGTCACCTGCTCAGGGAATCCCATTGCTCATTTGGGTTAGAATGAGAGGCAGGTGACTCGGCAAGACATCCAAGCCCTCTGAGGACCACACAGGGATGGCACACACCTCCCCCCATGGCTTCTATTACCTGGGCTGGAGGCCCAGCTTACCTAGCAGGACTCCCCTCCTTTCACACTTCCCCGTTCCTCTACCACCAGTGGGGGAGGGGGACCCACAATGTGGGCAAGCTGTTGGGGCCTCTGGGAGCTCCTCTGGCAAGGTGGGTGTGTTTGATGATCCCTCATGCTGCCATATAACTAGCTGTTTGGACTCCACGGTTCAGGGTTCAGAACAAAATGTGTTTTAAGAATCGCTGTTGCTGAGAGCACTGGTGACGAGGGGCTTGGTGGGATTAGTTTTAAGTGTTTTCTGTTTTGATTGATTGGAAGCCATTGTACCTTGGTGTCTGAAGCTGTGGGAGCTGGAAGCCACAGAGATCTGGAGTTATAACCGCAGCAGGTCTTGACCTCTAGGGTAGGCACTTTCCCAGAGGCTAATTTGAACAACGGGGTGGGCCACAGCAACAGTGGAACCCCACCCGGCGTTTCCACCTCCCTGGACCATGGGGCCATTTCCTACTGTGCTTTCCACTCAACAGTAAATTCTGAAGAAGTTGGACTCTTGTGCTATTGGATGTAACTACCATCTCTTGAGAGTGACCTTTCCAGGGATGAGAACCCGACACCTGGGGCCTGCGAGCTTCTCAAGGAAAGGATGATGACTAAACGTCTCTCTGTCCCCAGGGTTCGGCACAGTGTCACCAATAGCATCACTGGCATCTATGAGTGTCTATGGAATAAATAAATATGCAGGGGCCAGTGGCCCAGCAAAAGTACTGAGATGAGTGGAGGACAGAGCCAGGAGCAGTCTGTCCACTGGCCACAAAGATGCAGGTGAACAAGGCCTGAAAGCTCTGTGGTCGTGATCATCTGATCCCAAGTGAGGTGAGCCCAAGCAAGGCATGGTCAGGCTGGAGTCTGAGGGGATTCTTCCCATCCCAACCCAAATGCTATGACAGTCCCAAGCATGCTTCCCCCAGCCTGGTACAGTGTGAGCCCCAGCATGCCACAGGTGCTTTTACAAAAAGGGGTGTGAAAATAACACCATAGTGACCTAAACAGAAGTCCTAAAATGTAAGGCAACCTTAATCTTCCAGAAAAAAGAGACGTTTGCCATGTTAGTCGTGTACCATCAAAGGCAAAACTCCATTCCCAGCTGGTTGAGACCTTAGACAAGGTCACTTCTGAAGTCAGCCCTTGTGCAATTTAAACAGAATTACTCTCCAGAATGGAATATGTTGGAGAGTCTTCCATTTCTTGTCTGTAGTTGCAGAATGCTACTCTGAATATGTCCCTTCCAGACAAAACATGTGAAAAAAGAAAAGCTTAACAAGAAATTTAAATCGTTTTGCCACCTCTTGGACCCTTCCCTCCTCCTTCCTGATCCCTGTTTCTTTTCCCAAACTGACCAGGAGCCTGGGCGGGATCAGCTTGGCCAGCAGAGGGGTGCCAGAGCCTGCACTCTGGGCCCAGTCTCAGGAAGAAATGGGAATGGGCTCTATGCTCTCTATCTGCTCATAGAAAGCCCTTTATATTTTCTGCCTTTAAATTTTCTAAACACTTTTTTTGTTTGTTTTATATTTCAGCACTGATGATTGTCGTAATAAGTCATATGAATTTTGTCACCTTCCTATTCTTTCAAAGACAAGCTCAAGTGCTTTCAATCTAGCTCTACAGTAACATGATTCCACATTTGTCTATGGTTTCTATGGTGCAGCTAAGTTCTGGATCCACCCCAAACAATAAACATGGACTGCAGATTCATTTCTTGAACAGAAGGAGCAGGTCTAATTTTAGATTAAAATTCATTATTAGATTTCTGCTCAGTTTGGAAGGAAGTCAACTCAGTATGTGATGGAAAGTCTTACAGATAAGTCAACTGAAAGAGACTTGGACTCTTCCTGACTTGGGATCCCTCTTATGGTGGGGAGTCCTCATCTGTTCAGCCACACCAGCCAACATTGTCACACACCTGCTAAATAGGACAGCCAGGTGGAGATGTGGGAGCTCCAACTATGATCACAGTCCTGCCTTTGTGTCTTGGCTTGTGACCATGTAGTCTTGGGCAAGTGCCTTAACTTCTGTAAGCTTCCATTTCCCCATGATTAAATGGGAATAAAGTCCCAAGAATCTGAAAAGTTATGTAGAACTCTTAGTTCAGTGCCTGACATACATATTGGCTGCTAATAATACTACTGTAAAGTCTTAGGCTCTGTACCAGGGCACTGGGGATTACAAAGATGAATAAAACATTGGCCCTGAGGGCTGGCCCATGGCTCATGTGGGAGAGTGTGTTGCTGATAACACCAAGGCCGTGGGTTCAGATTCCTGTATAGGGACGGCTGGTTAGCTCACTTGGAAGAGCGTGGTGCTGATGACACCAAGTCAGGGGTTAAGATCCCCTTACCAGTCATCTTTTTAAAAAAACAAACAAAAAAACCCATTGGCCCTGCACCTGAGGCACTCAGTTTGGCAGGTGATAGGGGTGTTTAAATAAATAAATGGAAGAATAAGAATATAGCATGTGCTACCATGATCAGGCAAAGTAGAAGAAACAGGGCTGGTGTGTTGACTGCTCCTAATGGATATGAGGGACCATCAGTGGGATTGCTCAGGTGTCAGAGTCTCCAGGATGCACATTTGGGACAAGGAGTAATGATCACCTTTGGTGGATTGACTCCCACTAAACTCATGACAAACAAGAACCCAACATGATTAATTTGCAGAGCAAAATATAAAAGCCCGGTTGACTAGAACACGTGCACGACATGACCGATGTATACTCTGCCCTGCAAGCAAGTCTACTTGACCCACAGAACTCCTCTCAGAAGGAGATGTGGTGTATGTAGGGTCTGATTAAGGAAGTTGGGTGACCACATGGTGATTGCAGGCCCTCAGACACAAGCATTTGTTGTTAACAGGCTTATCTGGTTGGCTGTCCTTCCTCTCTCAGTGTTTCTTGTGTGTCAAAGGAGCAGGAATGACTTTCCCAGGGACTGAAAAGCATCCACTTAGCAGCTAGCACAGTGCCTAGCACACGGAAAATACTCAAATGTCTGTGGTGAATGAATATGACCCCAACAAACTGATGCCATCTGGCCATGTGTGTGCCACTTACATTATACGTATTTGATCATTTCACACTGTGTATTTACTGCTGTCGTAAGCCTATTAAAGTACTGGCACTTTTTCTGTCCCTGACAGACAAAATCTTGAAATAATTATTTAGGTGTCAGATAAAAATTCAGAACTTAGAATGGCTTATTTAAAATAAGTTTACGTAAAGTTAAATGCATCCATGAAAACTGTACCCTTCAATGAGGTTTGACAATGTAATCATCAGTGCAGTAAGATACAGAACATTTCCACTGCCCAAACTGCTCCCTCCTGCCCCTTTGCAGTCAATCCCCTCCAACCTGGCAGCAGGCAGCTATTGGCCAGCTCTTTGTCATTACACATTTATTCTCCATTTCTAAATCTTTTACAAATGGAATCATAGTGTACGCACTCTGTGTCTGCCTTCTTTCACTCAGCATAATGTTTTTGAGATTCACAGATTCTGACAATCGTCCTACCACTCACTGCCTGGATGAGTGGCCTTGGACAATCTGCTCGAACCCTCTCAGCTCAGTCTCCCATTTTAAAGTGGGGATGACAATAAGAGAATACTGGATGAGAATTTGGGAATTATGACATGGACTAATCACAGCATCTGCCACTGGTAGGGTTACCAACCACCCCAGTTTGCCCAGGACTGAGGAGTTTCCTAGGATGCATATTTCTGTGCTAAAATCTGCAAAGTTCCAGGCAAACCAGGAGGTTGGTCACCCTAGGTGGTGACATCTGAACAAGTGGTAGCTGCAGAGGCCAATTTACTGTGAAGCTAATGAAGCTTAAGCTTTAGGTACCCCCCACCCACCCGGTGCACAGACCTCCTCCAAGGCCTACATATGTGTTTGCACAATCATATGTTTTTGCAAATTGTATAGAAGTAAAAGATATTGCATTCTTCGGCTTAATGAGGACCCTGTCTCTCTCACCCACCCCAACACAAAAGTGTATAAGCTTCAGTCCTTATAAAATCTACAGCTGCCTCTGGGATCACTATTCTTATTGCTGATGGGAGTAGCAGCCAGATACCCTCTCTGCTAGATGCAGTGGAGAAACTCTGCCTGCTGAGTTTCCTTTCTCTGCCTTCCTCCTATTTAGAACTGGCTCTGTCTATATCATGGCACCAGAGATTTCTATCTTCCTTCACTCTGATTATGTACTGATGATACCATAATTGTAACTTCTGGATCCCTAGATTTCAAGAAGCATAGCACATATCACTCTAAGAAGCTAGCTCAATAAGAAATAGAATGGGAAGCCCCAGGCTTACCTGCTTGATGGTGCCACAGCCTGAGTAGGGTATTGTGAATATCACCTGGCTTGGTGTTATCTGGTGCTGACACTGATAGCTTCCATTCCAGCTGGAAATGACAAGGTCACTGGCAGAATAGCCCAGGGATTGGAGGTAGCTTCTGCTCACAATGGCTTGCATGTGATTCGGCAGACAAAGCAGCTCTAATGGATGAATGCAGATAATGCACTCAGTCAGGGCCCACAAACCCCACAAGCCCTACTAGGTATGCCCTCTTCCCATATGAAGGTGCACAGATCAAGATGGCGGACAAAGACAGTCAGCACTTGAGATGAATGAGGGTACTTCAAAACGTTCATGGAAAGATTTGTATTATCGCTCAATTCTTTTTCCACTAACTTTTTGAAGTACCCTTGAATGCACACAATATACCTCAGTGCACCCCCAAGGTGCCCTACTGCTCAAGCCAGCCCCATGCTCATAAAAGCCCAGTGAGGGCACATGGACTTAGGATCTCTCTGATAGAGAATTGGAGGCAGGATTTTAAATAAGTGAAATGTTTTGCCATGTTACTACTTATCCATAAAGTAATTCTACAGTCAAACTGTGTTGATGTTGTGAAATGAGGTCTTTTAGCTGTAGAGCAAGTCGGTGCCTCAAATCCTGACTGCATAAGAGACCTTGGACCTCACCTTGTCCAGCCCTTGGCCAATTTATACATCAATCCATAAAACAGTGATAGAGTTTGGATGTGTTGTCCCCGCCAAAATTCATGTGGAAATCTGGTCCTCAACGTGGTGGTGTTGGAAGCTGAGTCATGGGGGCGGATCCCTCATGAATGGATTAATGCTCTTCCTGGGGGAGAAGGGCCTAAGTGCGATCTCGCTCTACTAGTTCCCATGAGAGCTGGTTGTTTAAAAGACCCTGGCACCACCTCTCTCTCTCTCTCTCTCTCTCTCTCTCTCTCTCTCTCTTCCTCTCGCCATGTGATCTGCTTGTACCCGCTGGCTGCTGCCACTTTCTGTCACGAGTAGAAGCAGCCTGAGGCCCGTGCCAGGTGCAGCTTTCCCAGAATTGTAAGACAAATAAGCCTCTGTCTTTTATAAATTACTCAGTTTCAGGTATTCTGTTATAGAAACACAAAACAGACGAAGACAAACAACTTAAATTATAGCCATGCAGCCTCTGCTGGAAGTGGCTGAATGACCAGCTCAGTCCATCTTCAGACAGAAGCTAAGTGGCTTAGGTCTCAGCATATGGTCAACGTGTTCCACACTCTGGGAAGGTCACGAGGCCTCAAGCCAGGTGGTCTCCTGTGTCTTTGGCACTGACTTCTGGCTGTCTGCTGAGAGCATCATCTTGCAACTTCTACCTAGTCTCTTCTGACCACAGTAAGGCCAGTACACTACCCGTCAGCTAGTTCTGGCCCTTGACCTTGTTTCTGGGCAGCCAGAGTCCCCAGACCCATGCTTCTGTCCTCTCTTGGCAGGAAATCAAGCCTTGGTGCCCTGACCAGTCTGCTCTAATGTTTTCTTCACAACTGCAGGACAGTTGAGCAGCGGAAGAGTCTCAGTGCTGTCCCCACTCCCAAGGGAGCACTCTCACAAGGGAACTCACTGGTGCTGTCATTGGAAGGGCTAGAGTAGTACTCAGCCTGGAACCCTTTCCTCGTGATGCTGCCATCACTGATGAAGCGAACAGACATGAAGTTTGATGATGACGTGAAGGAGCCCTCAGCCCCATCGCAAACCCGCGCAATGAGAGGGGAGCTCTGGTGGGGGCCGTCGAAAACTTCAATGTAATCATAGTTGCATCCACCTTCCAGCCTGCAGAGACAGCGCACACAGTTCCAGCTTCACGGTTACTCAGAATTTGATGCAGGGGGTCAGATCTCAGTGAGGGGGTCACACCTCTGTGCCAGAAACTCTGGCAAAGTTAATCACTAAAAATAATAGATTTCCTTAAATCGAAGGAGATTCGTTTTCCCAGGACCTCCATGCTTGGACCTTAGTCCTGCATTTTGGGGTCACACATGAAATCTACAGCCCCTCTCTGGAAAGCTCCTTACATCATTAAAGGAAGGACTCACCTCCTGATTTAGACCATTTTCCTTCCATCAAAAAGTTAGCAGTTCCCCAATAGAATAAAATAAATATCCATGAGTTCATACTGATAGAAATAAATAATCGAATATGTAAATATTGAGCTTGAGCAAGTCAAATCACCTCTCTGAAGCTCAGTTTTCTTATTTACAAAGGTAAAATGCTCCTATCCATGAATACTGAAGAGGGCTGTTGTGAGGCTCAAATGAAATTAGGTACGAAAAAGTGCTTTATGAAATGTCACGAAAGGTGACGGTTGTTATTACGATGCTGGTTAAAGAACCTGTCATGGTCAAGCTTTTCCCATAGGATTTCATGAGCTTTAAGTGCAGTCCTTGTACTGTGATGACAGTGATGACAAAAAGATTAAAATAATGTATCTTTTGAAAAACTCCAAATGAATTACTGTGGCAGAGGCTCCCAAAGTGGCAAACAGAAATCAAGAGAGAAAACTATTTAGTCCAGTGATGGCTTTGGGGGAGGAAATTACGGACCCCCTTGTCCAGGACACTAGAAAACACTGGTGCCTCTGCACGGTCTGCCTGGCTGCCCCTCCTTGGATAATGTGCTTTTGGTGATGTCTCCGCTACTTAAAATAATGATTTCCACCTGTCATTGGATGAAGACCAGATAACCTAAGCTGTGCAGAAGCCATTTCTCCACCTTTCCTGACCCCCGGAGAGCTCATGTGAAGAAACAGAAAGTGCGAAGAAAAGGGCTCCACAAAATAGGTTCGGTTGTCACTAGGACTATTTCTGTGATTATTACTCCTGAGACTATCATTACTCCTAACAACAAACCCTCCCACTGGATAACATTTTCCAAGAATGCTCATATATTTTTCTCTCTTGCGACCTGCTCAGTAACCAATCAGATAAGGAAAGAAAGTGTTTATTCACCACCTTTGTCTGAGGCTCCAGGAAGTTGAGTGACATCCCGTGGTCACACGGCAACTGAGTGACACACCTGGGACTGTCCACTCCAGGGCTCTTGTGCCCACTCCCCCACCCTACATGGTCTGCCTCTGTGCTGGATCAAAAATCAAACCCATAATTTAAAAAATGTCACCTTGACAAACATCTCTCCTGAAATTCTAAGTACTATTTATTCCCTTTTAAAATGTCTGTGAGGTCCCCGATGCGTTCTGCTTTGTAGCCGCACACTTACTGGACGTCTCTGAAGGTAACAGTCACGCGGTAGTTGTTCTGGACTTCAATGTCCCACACGCATCTGGCGTTGTTCGGATAGTTCCCAGGATAGAATGGACTGGAAAAGCGTCCTGATGATTGGGACAGGAAGCCTCCACAGGAATAATTTGCTGTCAGGACGAAATGGAAATGCTGACGACACCCAGAGCACACTGCACAGTTTTGGGGGGAATATTGTATAACCATTTCCAACACCGAAACCCAGCGAGAGGTGGCCTAGACCTGGACCATCCACTGAGGGCCGGTGGGGTACCCTTTGGGGGAGGCTGCACTCGGGGAAGTTGGTCTCATCATGCCCCCACAGTGTCATGGTCATCGAGGGAAAGGGAAAGGGGGTTTCCAGGCCTCTCTGCATGGACTTGTCAAGGAGCTCAGAACTTACCGTTTGGGTGGGTGACGTTGTGAACAGGAGCTGTTGACAAAGAGAAAAGAAAACAATCAGCTTCCTCGACTCCATTGTTGGGCACTGGCTTGTCTGTGCCAGGCACTGCGCCAACTCTGGGGACAGGGCTTGCCCTCAGGGAGCTCGCCGTCTAGAGGAGAGGACAGGAAAGAGCAAATGCCAGCGCAGGGGGATGAGGCTGAGATGGAGGAAAGGACGGGAGCCCAGAGGTTTAGCTCCTGACCCAGACTGAGCGGGTGAGAGGGCAGGGGTCAGGAGGCAGGCAGAGAGGTGGAAAGAAAGGGGTGTTGCCACAGAGGGGACGGCATGTGCGAAGGGACCCAGGTGTGGAGATTTGGGGGGCTCGGTGTGGATGGAGTAGGGAGAAGAGGGAGAGGCCACTAAACTGACAATGGGAGTGGATCGTGGAGAGCCCAGCGGGCGTGCTGAGGACAGGGAACTTCGCTCCGAAGGCCCTGAGGAGCTGCTTGAAGGGTGCTCGACTGGCTGCACAGTAGGAGGATGGACAGAGGGCCACGCCTGAGGCTGCTGCTGCAGGGGCAGGAGGCGAGGAGTCCAGGGCAGGGCTGTGCCGGGGACATCCGTGTGGGGTCAGGAGCAGGCACCTGGGAGCCGTTGTCCATCGCATCCCATCAGCCTACACTGAGCAGGCTCTGGGGGCTGGAGGACAGGCAGACCTCATCAGTGGCCGCCTCTCCTAGGAATTGACTAGAGATCTGAATCTTAGGTTGGCCAGGCCACTGAAGGACAGAGAAGGGTGAGCTGTCCTGGTGCCTAGAGAGGTCCAGCCTGCCGGGGATTGGGACATCAGCTGCAGGGATGCAGCAGGCCCGGGAAGGCATGACAGGTGACAGGCAGACTCCCCGGAACATGAGCAACCCACCCCGCACAGTCCAGACAGCAGCAGCAGAGCCCCAAGACCCAGGCAGTGAGATGGAAATTGCGGTACTCACCAGGTGTCGTTGTGTAGCTTCCTAAAGAGAGATAGGAGAAAAGCACAGGTCACAAAGTGTGGCTGGGAGGAGGGGCCAGAATGAGGTCGAGACACCCCATGTGACTCCTGATCTCCCCCGGTGGTGAGTGCACCCGTGCTCTGTTGAGATGTTGGTGTCAAGAGGCCCAAGTGCGTTTCCCAGCTGCTCCCCCGCCCCATCATTATTTGGGGTCATCAGCATCACAACCGAGGTCATAACAACCATCACTTTCTACTTGCCCAGAATTGCTCTAAAATCATCCCAATTGCCACCAGCAGCAAATGCTACCCTGATTACTCCTGAAACTGAAGCTCAGAGAAGTTAAATCATTGCTAACCATCACGGAGCAGACTGTGTCCAGCATGATGGCCCCGGGGTCCAGAAACTGGCCAGAGATAAAGTGGTTCCCCACATGGTCATCTGGAGTGGCCAGGCCAAGGGGACAAGCAGACAAGCTCCTGCCCACCCACAGCTCCAGAACCGAGCCAGTCACCACCATCCACTGGCCATAAGCTCTCATTTCATAACAGGGTAAGGGTGAAACAGGCCTTCCATGACACCATGCCATACCTGAACAGATGACACCAGCATCTTCGTGGTGGCCACAGTTATGGGAGAACCAACCTCGGTTCCTGCATTGCCAGAGAGTGGATTCTGTCCCTGAACACTCCACATCGTCCAGGGTGATGGGACCAGAGCCAGAGCCAAAATGGGCATTTCCCAGGGCTGATTCTGCGTATCCACACCCCAGCTGTCTGCAGACCACCTGGGCATCGTGAATGCTCCAGGAGTCATCACAAACTGTCCCCCATTTGCCACCATGGTAAATTTCCACACGTCCAGCACATGCATTATAAGAGGCGTTTGAATTGACCAATCTCAAGCTGGCATCTGAAAGACACATACCGTAAAAGATGATGACTCTGCCCCACAATCAATCTCACAACAGAGACCATGGGCAATTCCCCACCCCCAGAGTCACCAAATGGAAACGTGTGCCATTAGAGTAGAAGCATTGGAGTAGAAGGGGCTCCAGACATCACAGAGGTCAGACCCCTCGCCTCCAGATGGGAAGGGGCTAGCTCAGCAAGGAGAGTCACCGGGCCCCCCAGGGAGTTGGTGGCAGACCCAGGGCCATGTGTGTCCTCTCTTCTGCACACCTCACTGCCTTGGCCAAGGACCCGCCCTTTTGAGGCTCAGAGGCCCAACCGTCAGATAGGAGAATGGACAACACACAGCTGAAACCCTTCCTTGATTCCCCTGGGAGCCACAATGTGCCCCAAGCGGGGCAGGGTAAGTCCACCAGTCCTCACAGTCAGGTCTGGTTTGCGCTTACCTCTTGGGAAGGAGTTATACCAAGCCAAAAAACCAGTGTTTTGGACACTGATGTCACTTCGAAATCGAACGGTCATTCGGTTGTAAGAAGATGTGAATATTTCCCTGGTGCCATTACAGATTTTCCCCAGCAAATTACTGCTATTCAACGATCCATCCAAGATTTCAACATAGTCATAAATGCAACCAACGTGCACCTCCAACCTGTATGGAAAATGTGTATTCAAATCAACGTTAAACTTCCTATTGCTCCCCTATATTGCAGGTAGTTTGGACTTTATGAGTGATGCTGTTGAAGTTTGTCTTGTAGCTCTTTCTCGGTCAAATCAAAGGACGTCCCAATATGGCCCGATGCTTCATGGTAGGGATCAAGGCAACCCCAAAGCTTGTGCCTGGCACACAATAGTGAAAAGCATTTTAGCCCAGAACACCAACTAAATCACTGGGTGTGCCATGAAGGACCCACCCTTCACCAGACAACCTGGAGTTACTTACTGCAGGTCATTGAAGCCCAGGTTTATGCGATAACCGGAACTCACTTCTATTTCCCAGACACAATGAGCATTGTTGGGGTAGTATCCAGGGTAGTATGGACTGGAAAATGTCCCACTGGCATTGAATAAGAAGCCACCACAATTTGAAGAGGGTCCTATAGAGGAGACAGAAGGACATACTCACTGTGGCAGGTCTTCAGGAATTTTGTGACAAAAAGTGTGGTTTCATCCACTGCACTTTATAACATGACTTAATTTTCTCTGTAAACAAGTCCCCTCTCTCAGGCCTAATTCTATGCTGCCCAACATTAGGGGTGCTGCCTTGAGCCTCTACTTCCCCTACTGGGCCCGGACAGCAATTTTCTGGCAGCAGGTATCCAGAAGCAGCATGTGTCACCTTGTAGCAAAAATGCCAAGAAAGCAACAAAGAGATTGCTGTTGGGCTGGCCTGTTAGCTCATTTGGTTAGAGCATGGTGCTGTTAACACCAAGGTCAAGGGTTTGGATCCCCTTACTGGCCAGCCACCAAAAGAGATTGCTGTCATTGTACAATCGGCTATAGAGAGGGACATGAAGATTGTACCTGCTGGCCTAGGGACAGCACCCCATATTGTAATTTATTCCCTAGAGTCTCCTGGGAGCACAGGATCCTGCCACTTGACATGTAGTACAAAGTCAAGGCAGGGGCAGGGCTTCTGCCACAGAAAGCCTGGGTTTGCATCTTGGCTCTGCTTTTACCAGTTTTGTGATATTGAGCATGATATTCAACCTCTCTGCCTCAGTTTCCCCATCAGAAAAAAATGGAAGTGATAATGGCATCTGCTTCATTGGACTGTTACAGGTATTAAATGAAATATGTGTATATAAACATGCATACATAAAAAAGGAGATATGATTATATGTACATACAAACTCTTAGACAGTGCTTAGCACATAATAAGCACCAGCAGTATTAGCTATTGTTTATCACAGAAGGATCAATACTAACCACGCAAATTTTTCATGGTTGGTTTGTTGTAATAGGCTTTTTAAAAACATTTGTATACTCGGTGGTGATATAAATTAAAACCGTTTTTCTTTTTTTCCTTATTCATAATTCTTTGTTTACTTTTTTTAAGTGTGCGATTCAGTGGTTTTCAGCATATTCAGAACTCTGCAGCCATCACCACTGTCAATGTTAGGACATTTTCATCACCCCAAAAAGAAACTCCATACCCATTAGCAGTCACTCTCCATTTTCCCCCAATGCCCTCAGGCCTTGGCAACTACTGCTCGACTTTCTGTCTCTGCAGATTTACCTATTCTGGATATTTCTTATAAATAGAATCATGCAATTGGTAGTCTTTTTTGACTGACTTCTTTCACTTAGCGGTTTTCAAAGTTCATCTATGTTGTAGCATGAATCAGCCCTTAATTTATTTTTATTGCCAAATAATATTCCACTGTATAGTCATACCACATTTGCTTAACACATTCACCATGATTGACATTTGGGTTGTTTCCACTTTTTGGCTGTTATGAATAATATTGCTCTGAAAGTTCATAGGTAAATTTCTGTGCGGACGTATGCTTTCATTTCAAAGTGACTGCACCATTTTGCATTCCTACCAGCACTGTGTGATGGTCTGATGTCTCCACACTCTCGCCAACACTTGTCATTACCTGGCTTTTTGATTATAGTCAACCTTGTGAAGTGGCATTTCTTTATGGTTTTGATTTGCATTTCCCTGATGGTTAATGATGTTGAACACATTTTCATGTGCCTGTTGGCCATTTGTGTATCTTCTAAGGAGAAATATCTATTCAGATCTTTTGCCCATTTTTCAATTGGGTTATTTGACTTTTTATTATTGACCAATAAGAGTTACTCATATATTCTATATATAAGACCCCTAACAGATATATGATTTACAAATATTTTCTTCCATTCTGAGGGAAAAACTGTGTTTCTTAAAAGATAATTGGATATGAATTGCAGATTTCTAAAAATAGAATAGAAACAATTATAAAATAAAATAAATTATGTTATTGTATATAATTACTTAAGATTATAAAATATACTTAGAAACAATTATTTTGTCCTATAATTAGTAATTGTTGAAATTACAGTAGATTCATACTATGAAAAATTGTGTAGTCATTAAACTTTATCGCATGGAAATAATTTCTTTTTTTTTCTTTTTTTTTGCATAGAAATAATTTCAATGCCACAAAAAATGTTAATTTTAAGGCCATGAATAGTGATTTTTATGTAGTCTTAAGTGACAATGGATGTTATAAAATGGGTTATAAAGCATGTATATCTTGTGTGTGGAATGTACACCAAAATGTCGATTATAATTTTGTATTTATTCATTCACTCATTCATCCATTATTTCATTTATTCTTTCAACCAACATTTCCTGAATGGCAGACACAATGCTAGGTAATAATGATAATGCAGTAATGAAAAAGGCAGGCGTGGCCCCTGCCTTCAGGAAACACAGTCTGGCAGAAAAGATAAGCATGATCTTTTCCAAATATACTTCAATTATGTAATTCCCTTGCTTAAAACTTTTGAACAGCTCCCACTGCCCCAAAGAGAAAGTCAGGAGTTCTACCCACTCACAGCCCCGGGTGACGTGACCCTGGCACAGCTCTCCTGCAGTCTCCCCCCCAAGCCCCTCCCTCCTTCAAAGAGCCAAGCTCCTTCCCACCCTGGGGCCTTCAAAGTACTCCTGGCTGGAAGACACTTCAGCAAATGAGCCTGCTCCTCTTGTAAGTCTCAGCTTAAAGTGTCACTTCCATAAAGAACTTCCCCTAATTCCCCAATCACATAAGGTCTCTGCTAATACGCCCCCTTTACACACTGAAATTTCCTTGGAAGCGCCTGTTACAACTGCAATTACATAGTTAATTCTGTACTAAATGTACAATACCGTGAGCTACCTGAGGTCAGAAATCAGTTTGCCTCTGTCACCATTGTAACTTTACAACCATTCTCATCGGCAGCTTGACCACACACACAGCAAGATCTTAAAATACCTAACATAGTAAGAGTTAATATTTATCAAATATATTTTACGTACCAGACACTATGTTAACTTTGGTCTAGTAAATCTATTTCTGTCCTAAAGAAACAATTGACGCAGTAAGCAAAGATTTATCTAGAAAAATATTCATCACAGAATCATTTATAATAATGAAAAAATATAAGTAACTTAAACATCCAGTACCTGGGGATTGGTTAAATAATTCATGGCCTAGGTGTATAAGGGATCTCAATACAAGTACGTAAAATGATCGTGAGAAAAGATTTAATGACACAGAGAAGTAGTCATATCATGTTTAAGAGCAGTGGACAGCTATTGAAACATACCCATACTGTGAAATAAAGAGTACATGGAAAAGCATAACTACTTGTGAAATTACCTATTTATTACTGTGTCTCTTCCTTCTCCCAAAGCTTTGGAGATATTCCAAGAAATAAAAGCCTTTAAGTCTATTCCTTTAAGAATAGTTATCTCATTGATTCAAATGAAGAGGAAATAGAACTGCTCAGTTAAAACAAAAGTCCTCTTCCCAGAAGGAGAGATGTGCAGGTGTCTGTGTGTAGGTTGCATGTGTGGTGTAGTGGCACAAGACAGGGCCAAGCTGTATGTGCAGATTAACGAAGGCTGGGGCCAGGGGTGGGTGGGTTGGGAGGGTGCCCACTTTGTGGAAGGCCAAGCTTGGAGATAAGAAGTCCATGTCCTGCAGTTCAGATGGAAAATGTGATACTCACCTACAGCGGTTGTAGTAATTGGGTGCCACCCATCTAGAAAGAAAATGAAGCTGTTTTAGGATTTTACTAGATAATATTTTTAATTCCATAATTATTAGTTTGATAGACAAAGTCAAATCCTTTTCCTTTCTTTTCCTAAGGACTTCTCAGAGCCTTAACTATTCCAGTTTATACGGTTAACGGCCAATAAGGGCTAGAATGTGCAGCCTTCCCTATATACCTGGCACAGAATATTTTCATTGTGGCACAAAGAACACTTTGGGGATTTCTCTCTCAATGGGAAGGAAGTCTTTATTAAACAAACATGTGTAGAAGTATTACTTGGTCACATTTCTCCGTGGACTAATTTAGACAGTTATTTTCATCTGAAGTGACTGGATGCCAAAGCCTCCCTCAACCAGCAGCATCTGTGAAAAATGACGGTCAGGCGATGGCAGGAGGCCAGGGGGCTCTCCAAGGCTGAGCTACACCCGAGAGTCATGGTACTGTGAGCTCAGCTTGGCACCTTAACAAACCTGAGTCATGAAAGAAATCACTCCTGAGGACAAGCCTGCTCTATGCCTCTCACTTCTGCAAACAGGAGAGGGAAAAGTTGCAGAGAGGAACACTGCTAGGCTGGCATAGAGCGAACGCACCTGGGGTGGTAAAATTCACTTCTGCAGCTGCAAGAAAGAGAAACAAACGTAAGTCAGGCTCAGTGCAGATGTGTTAGAAAAACAATCCAGAGGAGCAAGAGAAAGGCTGGATGGGCATCCGTCTTCTCCCCGTACGAACACTCCCGAGGACCCCTCCAGGAGGGTTGACTCATAGGCAGAAAGGTCAAGAGTTAGTTTCAAACAAGGGTTCAGAGAAGTTATTGTTCAAACTGTAAACAGCGTTACATTAAACCCGTGTATCGTCTAAGCATGTACTGAAAAAAGCAATTACAGAACACCCATAAAATTAGAATATCCACCAAAATATGGGGACGGTAACTCCCAAGAAGAGTGTTGAGAAAACAGACCACTTTCCAAAAAAACTCAAAGTGACAGGAAACCACATCCCTCTCTTGAAGAACACCAAACAAAAAAAGAGGGCCATTACGGCAGAGGCCCACCTGAGCAGATGACACTGGCGTCTTCCCCGTGGTTACAGTTGTGTCTGAGCCATCCATTGTGGGGGCAGCTCCACAGGTAGGACTCCTGCCCCGAGCAGCCCACGTCATCGAGGACAATCTGCCCTGAGCCCTGGCCGAACCGGGCACTCCCTGGGGCGGACGTGGCCCAGCCACAGCTCAGCTGCCTGCAGACCACATTGGCATCGTTGATGTCCCAGCTGTCATCACACACGGTGCCCCACGAGCCTTGGTATAGGACCTCCACCCGGCCCTGACACCGGTCACCTCCGTTCACTAGCCTCAGGGACAGAGCTGACTCGTCACCTAGAGAAAAACATAAGAACACCTCATCCATCCCTTTCTTGAGGTCAAGGATCTGCAGCAAGCTCCACACTGAGACGTTTTTCATGGCCAAAGTCACCTGGGCAGGCCCTCGCCTGTGAATATGGCAGCGGTTAGACTTCAGCATTGACTCGCCTGAGACCCCCTTTTCTGTCCAGGTCTCGGGAGGCGCACGGCAAGGAAAGCACCATGACCTCAGGGGAGGTGACAGAAATAGACGCTCAGTGGCCCCTTTCCCAGCCATGGGCAGACACAGGGCGGCATTCCAGAGCTACGGGTGACAGACCCGGCCCGTGCCCACGTTCCCAATTCGCCAGCACCTACACGATCCGTTCTGGGATGGGACCGTCGGAAAGGCTGTGTCCCTGAGCAAACCCTACGCCAAGAGGGGGAGGCCCAAGGTCAAGGAGGCCCAC